GGCTGACTGGCCTGTAGTTCCCTGGGTCCTCCTTCTTGCCCTTTTTGAAGATTGGAGTGACATTTGCCTTTCTCCAGTCCTCGGGCACCTCTCCCGTCCTCCAGGACCTCTCAAAGATGATGGAGAGTGGCTCAGCAATGACATCCGCCAGCTCCCTCAGCACTCGTGGGTCCTGTTACCTGGTATTTACTGCTTTTCATCTGTCGGCTTTAACATCTTCTAATCCATGCTCTGGTGTTACCAAACTCTTTCCTATCGACTTGAGCTGAATCTACACATAAACCTGAGTTTCTGAAGCTGGGTGTGGTGAATCTAGGGAATCAGACACTCGTCAGGATGCACCCTTGATCTGAACCGGTACAGTCACTCTTACACGTAACCTGGCACACAAAGAACATCATCTACACACCGGGGCTGCAAGATGAGCAGTGACAACAGAAAAATCTTTGAAACAATTAGAATTACTGGGCAAACTCTGTCCAGAATATACAAATAGACAAGGAGAAAATGCACAGAATATAAAAAAAACAGTATAGCAAAGAATTTGGGGTTTTTTCATAATTCTTTTAACATTTCAGCAAATATCCATCACTTAGGGTAAATAAAAAGCCTATTCTTTTTCAAATATCCTCATTTTTCTGCAGCTGCCAGGCTGGCTATTTCGTATGCCTTACTCCAACATCAACACAGGAAATTGGTTTTGACAAACTCACGGGATTCAGAAAAAGCATATTCCTCCACTGCTAATGCTTGAAAAATTACGCAGTAGCTCCCTGCTTGTCTGTGACAGTCCACAGTCTGGATACCTGCTTCCTAAATCCAACCTGCCTAATTGATACCTGCTTCCTAAATCCAACCTGCCTAATTGAAAAAAATCTTCTGTTGAAGGGTATTTTCTGCAATTTGAAGATATTTCCAGTTATTCCACAAGCCTATTCATAAACACAAGCACCATTTTAATGTATTTCCCTGAGTGTATTGCCTGCAGTTAGCGCAGGTCTACTGCCTCTTGCTCTTAGCTTAGCTTAAAGGCGCCCTTTTTGCATTTCTCTCTTTCCTTCAGGATGCCATATTCACTCAGCAGAGTTCCTTCACTGAAACGTCCAAGTCTCTTCACACAAACAGAAACAAGGACTCTCAACTCCGCACTTTCTGCAACGGGTGGCACAAGCTGGGATCCCTCAAGAAACTAAAGTGACAACAGGGAAAGGGAAAGGAGTTTGCAGCCTGGAAGCTGCACAACACACTGCTGCTGCTACTGCTGTGGCAGCCCGGGCGGCCCCCACGCCCCTGCTGCCCCTGG